AGATTGAACTCAGGCCCTTGTGCTTGCCAGGGAAGTGCTCAATTCACTAAGCCATCTCCCTAGCCCCGATATTAAGAGATTATTTTAGTTTTTTAGGTCATGGTTCTGTGGTGATATTTAAGTATTTTGGTTTTCTCTGTCTCTAAAGGAGGTACATTTTCCATTTCTCCTAGCATACATTTAAATTGATGAACACTCTGTGCGCTAACTTGCCTGATGAGTATTGGTCATGACACAGAAAGCCAAAAATTGTGTGAAGAGAGTTAGATTAATGATGTTCCCAGCAAGGTGCTGGGAAACACCTGTTACAGACATAATGACAAACAGTGAAACATGACAAACATTATTCCAGCATACCATGGAAAATTGCTATGCTTTGGGTGGTAACACAGAACAGTATAAGGACATTGACATATTCTTTAATATCTGCAGACCTTGTGGCCTTACATTGTAAAATAATGACTAAAGACACAGCCATCTATAACTATTAACAAATTTTGTTTTTCCCACGTAGTATTCATTAGAATGCATACAGTGGTCTGTTCTATACCAGTTACCTAGACAATCTACTCCTTCATTAAGAAATATTGTCTGACATTTTTGTTATGCTGAACTATCCAAAATTACTGCCTTGCAGTTTGTTTTGCTGATTTCGTGCTTAGCTACTAATCATGTACTGCTTTATTCCAAAGTATGCTCCTCAAAAGCATGAGAACAAGGTCAGTAAATACACCAGCGCAGTGGTTCTCAGCAGGAGTCAACTTTGCTCCCTAGGGAGTTATTTTTGGTTTCATGACTAGGGATTACTGCTGGAACCTTGCAGGTAGAGGCCAGAGATGCTGCTGTGCAGCCCCCAACAGCAACGTGTCACTAAGCCCAAAAGGTCATAGGCTCTGAGCAAGAAACTCTGCATTACTGTTACACAATGGAATGGAAATAAAAATTATGGGGTTGAAATAATCAAATTTGTAAGACACTATCACTGTACTTTAAACTAGCCCTTAATGAGTGAATTGTAATGAATAAAATAGTTTAGCTTCTATTTAGAAATAACAGAACTACATAGTTTTTGTGACTAAATTACTACAAATATTTTATTATAAAGAAATATCAGGGGCTGGTGAGATGGCTCAGTGGTGTAAAGCACCTACTTAGAACAAGCTTAGCAAAGCACAGGGACCGCGGTTCAATCCCCCCAGCACCACATGCCAGCCAGCCCCGCCCCCTGGTGGGC